ATTACAAAATGACCAAACTGAGAGACGAGACACTGCTGTCAACAGACCTTAGAGTCTTGTCTTTGTACCTGATGACCTACTTTAATAAACTAGCCACGAGGACAATGTTGTGGTGCAAAGTCCGTGTGGATTTGCACATTTTGTAGAACACATACCATGATTTTAATAGCGTATCAAGTCTTACTGCACACCGATGCCAGTATCTGTACAGGTGAAAGTCAATGTGAGGTGAAGCTGTAGTGAAAATCTGAGTCTTTTTTAAATCCAAACCTGTGATCACTCAGTACTTATAGTTACGCAGCAACCACGAGAAGTGACCTGATCATATGAAGCGTTTCCTTTGCTCAGTAATTTGCCCTCTACCCCCTCTGAGAAGAGTTTGGCTGCACCACAGCTCCTCTGTTATCAGTTTAACCAAATCAAAAGCAGGCAGCAAATCCAGCAAGGATTTTCAAACTCTACTTTCAAGACTGTGACACAATATCAGCAACAGAAGAAAAAATAATCCCAACTGTTCAATTATTTTCCTCATATCTATAAATACAATCTGCTCCTTTTTATGACATCTTTTGAAATATACATCCAGGCCTGTTCACTGGAGAGACGGCTGAAGTTGAAGTGGAGTGAAAAACTTCTGCTGCAGCTTGTTTTCTTTATGACACAGAGCAGAGTCTTCACTGAAACAAGGCACTGAGCTGACAGATAATGTGCTGACATGACACTGCAGCAGCAGAGCAGATCCACGCCCCACATTTCTGAACCTCTGATGCCAAAATGCATTTCTTTTTACATGACAAAGGGGGGAAAAAAACCCCATGGTTATCAGCCCACGATGACGACGTTGTTCCACAAGTGTAATGATATGAAGTTGTTAGCAACAAACAGCACTGGAACTTCTCAGAACATCTGAGCACTTTCCTAAAACTGAACCTTTTTTTTTCATTCAATCACCTTCTGCTGCCTTACAGCACAAGGTTCACGAGTTCGAGTCCTGGTCTGATTCCTGTTTATTTGAAAGTGACGACTGGTGTAAAGGGGAGTATGAATGATTGTTGTCTTCATGTCGAGTGCTGTGGTTGATTGATAGATAGATAGATACTGATACTGGTCTGGTCAATACAGAGAGACAGACAGGGAGGTGGACCGTCACTGAAGCAGAGATGTCCTGTTTCATTAGCTCCCTGGTCACAGAGAACCCCACAGGGGGGGAGTGAAGGGCAGAGTTGGGGGGGTTGATTTACTATTTTTATCCAGACAAACAGGTAGACGTGCAGCTGGCAGCACATGCAGCCTCTCTACCCACCAACCACCACTTTGTTTGGTCTATAAATAGCCATGGAATCAATCTGTCTGTTTTCATTTAACTATGGCGCGACCAGCTGAGCTGCCTGGTCGTGACTCGCTCTGGGTCTCACCCCTCACTCCCTTCTTCTACTCTGACAGGAGGCAGCTGTAACCATGCGGCAGAGAAAATCAATTGTCACAATAATAGAAGAACTCGTTTCTGACCAATGACTGAGGACATGAACAATTGAGCTGTTTTGGGGGTGAGGGACACGGGTTACAGTTATCTCTGTAATTATATTTGACAATTTTTTTTAGCTACCTTCAGGTTTTAACATGTCTTTAGCTAATTTGTTTTAACTTTGTACTCGTTTGTCTGTTTTTTTGATAAGCTACTTATTTTGCTACCTGTTTCTTTAACAGTTTGCTAGATGCTAGCAAAATTTTGGGCTAATCTTTTGTTACTGTTTTTTTTAAATAAAATTTGATAAATTATCCTAATCCAATTTTTTTTAAATGTAAATATTGATGTCAGCAGCCGATTTAGCCTTTCAGCTAACTTCAGCAGAAGAATTTCTGGTCCAAGTTAAAGTTGTCTTTAGAATATGTTTTTTGTTTGTTTGTTTGTTATATATTATATACATTTTTACTTATTTATATTGAACTCTCTTTCCTCACTTTAATATTTTATAACAGTTTATTCCTTTCCTCATTTTTAGTTAACTTTGTTCTTACTTTGATCAATTAAACTTTCATCTTATCGTTGATTTGCATTTTTACTGATGAAATATATATTTTTTAAAACACCTTTTTTGTTGTTAATATTGGATATTGACTATATTTGTTCCTGAGGTACCAAGTAACATCTGTCATTTTAACATATATTCATTAACCAAACTTTTTTTTGCTTGTATTTGTGAGGGAGCATCGATCACACAGCATCGTTTTCACTTAAAATGCAATTCTTTTCATAAACCAAATGTCACTGTATGATATTTGTGCCTTTTTCGTTCCTAATTTCCAGTGAGTTTATGGAAGTGAGTTTGATCTGACTGACCTCCAGCTGACAGAATCCTGCGTTGCTCTTGTTCCTCGCTGCCTTGTTCTTCAGGTAGATGGAGAACCATCTCCGCACTGTGAATTTGCGCGTGCTGGTATCCATGGCAACCACTCTCTCTATATACCTATCCCATAACGATGATGAACATATCCCTTCAGTGGGATGCTGTGAGTGTTTGGAGATTCCTAGAGAGACAGATAACAGGAGGATTACAGGAGGATTGCTTCATCTATTTGTCCTGCAGTTGCTCCATTGGTCCATCCTCAGTGCAGGGGGGGGCTCTTTGGCTCTCCCACCATTCTCTGCAGCCTTTCCTCCACCACCTCCAACACCCCTCTGTCCTTTTATCTTCCAGCCACAGCAAGCTCACAGTCCCGGGATGTAAACGGAGCCGTTAATCTGCTCACCCCAACATGTGAGAAGATGATGATGATGATGATGACGAAGGGCAGAAGAGTTGATGCTGCTGCTCCTGCTGCTGCTGCCGGCTTTGGTATTGTCCGGTGTTGCGTTGCTGCGTGAGACTGCAGAGTAAAGAGGTGACGAATAAATGTGATCCACTAAAATCAGGAGGTGTGAGAGTGTGAACTCCTCCTCACATCCCTGCTGTCTGCCTCTCTGCAGAACAGAGGATTGTCACCAGTCACATTGGACGCCCCTCCCTCACTTCTTCAGCGCTCCGTCTTTCACATACCAGCATACAGCAACAGCTGGAGAGGTCACATGGTGCCGCCCAGCTACCTCTGCCTCTGGAAAATTCTCCCAGAGACAAACGGTTTAAAAAATAAAAACAATACAAAGAACAATCATTTAATCAATTCCAAAAATCATAATTATCAGTTGTTGACTTCTTTTCAGTTCCAGTGACAGATTGTTTAAAAACCTCACCTTCTTCATATTATCTTGAAGTCACACTGAAGCATCCTCTCATCATGATGTTCTTTAGGTTCGATGGCTTTATTCTTTGTCACATTCTTGCCAACATCCCAAATAACGTGCTCCTAATCTTCCCACCTTCCTCTTCAGTGAGTCATTAGCAGACGTCACTCTGGTCCAGAGGAGTCTCTTTGGGACAAGGAAAAATTTTCTTCGTCTCAAATCTCACACTTCAACACTGCAGTGATGACTTCTGACTTTTCTATTCCAAATTGGACCCAAGTCATTCACTTCTGATTTTCCAGAGCAGTGGGGCACTCTTCCCCCGGGGCGACGCCAGAGCCCTTCAAAGGAGGAAGTAGGGATGAAGAACTTCAGGTGCAGGGCATTTGGTGGAGCAGTTCTATACACCAACGGAGAGAAAGGAGAGAGAAGAAGTTAACCATGAAAACTGAGGTATGAGAGAGAATATTTAAATCTTTAAATTTACATTTTTTAATCAAATAATTAAATGGGACCGTTTTTTTTTTTTTTTTTTGCTTATTAGACAAAGGTCCACAATGTTGGACCATGTAAAGTGATCACTTCACCACTTGATCACTTTGAACCTTCTAATAACACAAGTTTCATGCACTCCAGGCATCAACACGTTTTTTTCAGCAGTTATTACTGTACATGAAGAGTAGCTCAGTCGGATGAGCCTCAGTGGTTTGCCTTATTATGTTAATGCACCTGTTTGTGGCGGCGCTCAAACACAGGAAGGTTAAACCTCGCTAAACATTTTTGACCTTGGCGTGTTTGGCTTTTAGAGTCAATGGAAAATCCATCCATACCAGTCGTTTCCAGGACATGTTGCATCATTTCCAGTGACATAACGTCCTGCTGTGATGCAACACCGAGGACAGCGATCGATACACAAATCCATAGCGATGACGGCGGCTGTGGCCACTGAGTTCACTGCCATCCCTTTGCTCACTGGGCCTTGGGTGTGTGTAGGTGCCTGGATCTGTCACATCAGCAGCTTTGCAGAACTGCAGTCTTACATAATCATAGAGGAAATAGACAGCAGGGGGAATGAGAGAGGAAGTGATGAAGGTAGGAGCCATAACCAGGGGGAAGATGGACGAAGCTCAACTGTGGAAACGTGAGTCGAATCGGAACTGGATTTTAAATTTATTTATTTGTGGGGTTATTTATTTATTTATTTAAAGAAATATCTTTATTTGTGGGGTTATTTATTTATTTAAAGAAATATATTGACTGGATTTTTTTTACCACATATTGAAAATGTTTGATGTGTTTCTTTAATCTGCTGAGCTGGGATGGGAGGTCAGGGGTGTGGGATACGGGATTACATACTAGTGTCAGTGGGATTAGAGGTTGGCAAGATCACAGGATTTAAAAAAACTAAGAAGAAAAAAAATAGTTTTTGTACAATATAAACTCCAATCATTTGTGCACAGACGTATTTTTTGGCACAGGTCAAAGCCGATCCTGCTGCTGTGTATTGACGCCAGATGGTCCGTCACTATTTATTCACCAAACTCTATTTATAGCTTATTATTTCTTTCCCTTGCATTAATTAAAATTTCAAATAGATCCATTTAATCTCACGGGGTGTGTTATATAAGAAGTCAATGATCTCAAGGTAGACAGACCAATTGGAACATGCTTTATTCAGTTTAAAATCTACATGAGTTCAAGTAAAGAGAGAAAGAGTTTCTCTAAAGCAGCTCCATTTGAATTAAACTGAAGAGGAACTAATGTTTGTTGCTTTTCTAGATGTCTGTATACCTAAAGAAAAAAAACTGCAACAAAAAAAACAAAACAAACAAAAACATAAACATACTGAGGTACGATTGTGTTTACATTTTTAAATCAGGTAGTTGATATAGTGTCACAAACCAAAACTAGCATTAGATGATTATAAGTAATAGATTGTATATAATAAATTGACTCAGCACTAAGTGCTTTAACAAGGCCCCAGCTGTGTGAAATACTGAAGCCGGTGAACGTGCCTTTTTCTTTGATTATTATTTTTACTTCCTCTAAAAGCTTAACCCTTGGGTTGACCTCCGACTTCTTCTAACCCAAAATAAAACTTAACAAAAAAATGTGTTCTTTCTTTTTCTAGTTATTCTTTTATGTAGTGACAAGTAGGAGTGGCATTAGACCATAGATGTTACACTGAAGTGGTCATTTCTAGGGATCAAAGGGCGTTGGTGTTAGAGAGGACATTTCAAGGGTTAATTAATCACCTTTGTCCTTTTAAATTACATACAGTCTATGATTTGTGTTGGCAGTTTAAAATATCAGACCTAACGATGCCATGGTCTGTCTAATGCTAGGTTTGCTACAGCTAGTTGACTGGTCGCCTAGTTTTAACCCCTTTAAAACCACAGATCAATGACAACCCCCCCCTAAAAAAAAAAAAATCAAGATAAGGTAATCAAGATAACTGATTTAAGTACTACAGTGTTTCCTTAGAGTAAATCTACATCCACTGTAAATCTAGGAGGATTTTTTTAAATTAGGATGTTGATTTCCTGAAGCAAAAAAATTACAGGGAGTGTATGTGAGCATGGCTTCCAATTCCAGTACACGCCAGATGCTAACCTGCAGTTCAGTGTAAACATGTATACGCTCTACGAAGCCAATGGGTAGCACACTGGTATATGATGGTCACACACACTGAACCCAGACTGCTTGTCCACAGCCCAGTACTTGTCCCAGTCCTGCTTTTTCTCGCAGTCCATCAGGGTGAAGTCGGGGCTGAAACAGATTTCAATCTGTCCCAAAACCTGGGTATCAGCATTTGGCTGATGCTGAGAAAAAAATAACAAAAAAAGAAAAATCAGATTGTGCAATATTTTTAAATACATTGTTAAATGTACATATACAACATGACATATGTAATACCTTCGATGGGTGAAAACACTGAATCTTAGGTTTAACACCGTAGAAATTTTCAATGACTCCTTCAATTTGTGCAAACTATAAAACACACACAAAAAGCGATTTTAATACAGTTACGTTTATGAGAAACAAAGAGATGTTTGCAGTACATTAAAGGTCTATTTTTATATTTTCAAGGATCTAGTGTCATGATTTGTCAGTCCTGCTAAATTTAAATAAAATAAAAAAATCTACCTAGTCACTTCAATGCTGTCACTTTTTGTCCGTTATAAAATGTTACACTAAAAAAATTAGGAATCCTGAGACTGTGATGTCATCCTTGTGCGAACCAGCAGAGGGGGCAATTGGTTCCTCACATTCTGATTTCAGCACACATACTGCACTAAAGTACCACTAAAAGGGCATTTCATGGCTTCTACTCTAAGTACTAATACTACTGTATATGTGTATGTATGTTCTACTACATGTATACAATATACAGTACATTAACTTATAAACAAGTGTCAAATAATTAGACTTACTGTGTAGTATTTTTCTGAAGGTATGATCCCAAACTTGCTCAGGATGCTACAAACACACAGGGACACATTCTTAGACAGATGACATACAGCAGATGACAGAGATAGATCCGTCGTTCTCAACCAGGGTAAACCAGGCCCCTAGGGGCCCAGGGGCCATGGTCAAGGGGTCCACAATAACAACATGTCAATATAAAATCACCTACACACACAATGAAATTTGTTTATTTGTTTAATTACCAAGCCTTTCCTCTTCCACTAGACCACAATTGACCTGAATTAGCCAATTAGCTAAAAAATAAAAAAAAAAGTAGCTTCTGTCATATGCTGACAGAAAGTTCTGGTGCAGCAGAAAGCTCTGCAGAGTCATCAACACAGCCCAGAAGATCACTGGCTGCTCTCTGCCCAGCCTGGAGGACATCGCCAACTCTCGCTCCCTCAGCAGAGCTAGCAACATCATCAAGGACCCGTCCCACCCCAGTAACTCTCTGTTCTACATGTTACCGTCAGGCAGACGGTACAGGTCACACAAAACCAGGACAAACAGACTCAGAGATAGCTTCTTCCCGAAAGCTATCTCAGCAGTGAACAATAGTAACAAAACCAGTTAAAATAATCCACACAATTTCACACTTTACTGATCATATTGATCACTGTGCAGTAAAGGAACAACTATATGCAATAACTAATCACACCAAAGATATGTTTGATATATTGTCTTTTACTCTTTTTTTGCACCAAGTGAGTAGCGCTCAAATCTCGTTGTACACTGTACAAGGACAATAAAGGCTATTCTATTCTATAGGCTATTCTATTGTGTGGTTAAGATCAAATGATATAAAGACATTGACTTCACCTGTGCTCATGTGCTGGGAGGGGCACTGCATTATTTGACCTGATTTGACTAAACAATTCTCTGCTTTCTACTTTATCTTTAACTGCAGTGTGTGTGTGTGTGTGTGTTCATGTATACATGCAAGTGTTTTGCACCTGTCCAGGTCCAGTTTGTGGTACAGTTCCAGTGCTTTGCTGAAGTACTTATGTTGACTGTTGAGAGACTCGGCTCGTGCAGCACACGTGCCGTGTTTGTGCCACTCGTACTTCCTGCAGAAACAGATGGACAAACGGATAAAGTCTTTAACTACACACACATACTGGAGCTCTTACATAACTCATAATTTTTCTTCCAAGTCGTCGTATCTCCAATTTATGTCAAAATAACCACCGAACAGTATACAATACCAGAAACCAGAGGACGAGGGATGAAGTAAGTTAGGCCAACTTTTGTTCATGTCAGGAAGCAAATCCTGGAAACAGAAATAGTTCAAAATTCATTTAACTTACAAATCAACTTCATGTCTCACTCCTGCGTCTGAGCTCCAGCTGCAGGAAAACAACAGCTACTGCACGGAGGTTGTGACACATACAGTACATTCTAATCCTGTGGCAAAACTTGACTCACTTCACACAATCACTTTTGGTTGATTTAGTCACACATAACACCAGTGGCAAGTAAGCCTTACAGTTCAGTAGATATTTATTGAAACCCATCACAATGTGGTATACAGTATGTGACAGTATTTGGTATCCACGAGTATGTAAAGTGAAAATACTCAAACTAGTATTGGTTGGAATTAAAAATAGGTATTGAGACACCCTTGGAAAAACACTTTGAGAGGTGAACTGGGTTTATTGACCTGGAAAGGTTCCCTGGGGAATTCTAACACCAAAGACAGACTTAGTGTGACTGGTGTCATACCGCAATCTCAGAAGAGTTGAAAGCCCATGAGTTGTTGCAGTCCATCCCTGAATCTGGCCTGTGGACAGATTCAAAGTTTTACACATCACTGCACCAGACAACAAGAAAAGAGTATTAAAAAACAGACAAACACACACACACCAGAGTCCATGCAGTGTCCAGTGACTGATGTTGGGATGACAGTGTTCCATCTGAAAAGAACAAAGGTTAGTGTTTTTAATCCATCTGAACAATTAGACTTTTCATGTCTATGAATGTCTAGACTTTTCGATGATGAAAAAAACTAATATACTAAAACAACCTTTTTGGGTATTTTTCTAAGCTGTACAGGGACATGGTGTTTAAACAAAAATATTTTAAGGACAAAAATATTGTTGACATCAGGTCATGGGACAGATGTAAGGGGTTCACAGACCAGAAATGGTCGTCAGGCCAGAGGTTGGAGACCACTGGTAACAACACTGTGTACACACTCAGTTTTTCTGAGACAAAATATCTTCAGACAGCTTAACTGACTCTTATAATAGCATCAGTTAAACAACAGGCAGGTGAGTGAGTAGGTTAGAGATCAATGCTGAATGTTTAACACTCACAGAGCAAAATGTCTGGGGCCACTGCTGAGTCAGAATCAGTTTGGTCCACATTTTTCTGCAAAACAAGTAGACTTTGCGTCATCATTACTGTTATAATAATAATAATAATAATAATAATAATAATAATAATAAAAACATGTGTTAGCCTAAAAGTATTAACATCACCTCAGGTGATGAACTTACCTGGGTGAGACCACATAGGCTGAGGTCACAGCTGCAGCCAGGCAGAGGAGAAGAGCTGAGCACAGCCTCATGTCTGCTCTGAAATGACCTGTAAAAATAAAAATGACTCAGGTTTTACTACAGTACTGCGTAGTAAACAACAGAAATGACAAAACATTTGAAAAACCACAGCAGTCAGAATCTTCACTCTTTTAAACTTTTATAGATAGACAGATAGATTAACTTTATTAATTCTGTGTAAGTTCCCTAAAGCAAATGTGAGGGTAATTGTGGTTAAAGTGGTGCATATTATTCAGTTAAAAAAAACAAACATGTGGCCTAAGAATTGTCGGAATTTAGTCTAGCAGTCAACGTAAAAAAAACCACAAATACATCCAGAACAGTAAGTTCCTCTTATTCAGTTACGCAGCAAAAAAAAAAAAGAAAGAAAGAAAGAAAGAAAGAAAATCCTCAAGTTTTTAGGGTTTTTATTTTTTGTATCATGGAATGCCAAAATGAAATCAAGGAATGTACAGAATCTTGAGTCTCGACGGCAAAATCTGACTTTAGTGAGACTGATTTTTTTTTTTAGAACCGATCGGTTTTAAAATATTGTTGCGACATTTCCGGTCTGCTTTAATAGTTGAGGACTGAATTCTTGTGATCTTCATTTTAAAAAGAAAAACGCATATGACAACAGTAACGATAGCTAAATATCTGAATACATCTGCCAGTACTATGAACCCAATAAATCAATGTGGAACTAGACGTTAGATGTTCGAATGTCTGCTTACAGTTGGTTGTGTCGTTATATTGGTACCGTGCAAAGTCCTCACTAAAATAGGCGTTTATCGCAATACAAACTTCGATACAATGTGAATGTAACAACATTATATTGATGGTCGGTAACTGAAGCTCGAGAGCGAATCTCAGGTTTATTAAATATCGCACAAGAAACAATGTTAACCACGGCTGTCCGAGTTAGTTAAACTCACAAGCGGTAGTGTTTTTGTATTAGTTGAATGTGCTATTTTAAAAGTTTATCGCCTCAATATCTTACCTGAGATTAGTAGTAGTTAGACCCAACCAGAACGTCCTTAAAGAACCTCATACTTCACAAACAACAAAATGTTTTTGTCCCTCACTTCACTACTTTTGGCTAATCGTAGCAGCCAATAGGAAGCTTCACGGAAGTGACGCTAATTCACGTGATACATACGTATTTGACTTTAAAACCGGCATAAAAATAGACAGTAAACTTGCTCAGGGGATATGTTTTAAAATAAATTTAAAATATAGTAAGTAAATTACAACAACGTCTTTCTATTTGTATTTATTATTTATTATATTATTTTTTTTGCTAGAAAAAAAAGTCCCCTAAAGTACAAAATACTGTATTTAGACCACGTTTACAGAATACGGAAGAAAATGAATACAAATTTTGTTTTACTGTGCTTCAAATAAATGTACACTTTCATAAGGTTAAGTAATAGTTTTAACAGGCACAGCATGAGCTCATTTGAAGGACATCATATATTTCCCCCACCAGTTTGACGTTAGTATGGTCAACCTCAATGTTTTATAAATTATGTTTAGTAAGTAGTTTTTAGTAGTATTTTGTGCTGGGTTGCCTAACATTTGGCAGTTTCCATGACAGCTTCTAGTTGTGGTTTTGTTGTTTAACAATTTATGGGAGATTTATTGAGCTATACTTGTTTACCCCTCATCTCTTTTCGCATACCTTAGCTTTTCTTCAAATGACATTTTAATGATGGTAACTAATTCTATTTATAGTCAAATGATTAAATAATACATGGTAATAAATAATTAAATCAATAAAGTAACTAAACATGGATAACTAGGTATAGATATACTGTAGGTATGTATTGATCATTTAAAATGTTTTTATATTGAATTTATTATAATTGTACTCAATGCCAATATTGATAATATTTTAATATTAATAAAAAGAAGAGAGAGAAGAAAGTAGAGGAACATTATTATTATACTCTGCATTATAGGGTGTTTTTTTATAGAGCATTTAGTACTTTTTTTGTGAAGTCATGCCCTGGATTACCCAGCTAACCATTACCTTACAGTCAGACGTCTAACATAATTATGACCAACAGAGGGCTCTTTGTAACCACAGATAGACAGACATTGGTCTGTGCAGGGGAATAGACAGAAGAAGAAAAAAAAGCAAAAAGTAGCTGATTTTAAACACATAACTAAAATAATTACATTCGGCATGAAATAAGCTCTCATATGTCACCAGAAAACCTTCATACAGTCTCACTTAATTTAAACTCAACTAATTTATTAATTGTGTTATTTTTTCTAGGTTGTTCTCCTTTCCACTTTTCTTACATCACACATTTTCCCCTCATTTCCTGTTTTTCTCACTCTTTCTCTCTCTTTCTTTCTTTTTTCTTTCCTCATATCTATTTTTTTTTTTTTTTTTTGGTTTTTTTACGTTTTTGGTTTGTTTTTTTTTCATCATCAAGATTTTATGTCAGATGTGAAATGCATTTCGCAGCTCCTCCAAGGTGTCAGGAATAGTGCAGCTGTAACTGTAGCTAGTTTCATAAATAGCCTCTGGCCAAAGTTCAGCATGCAACACCGTGTCTCAAGACGTTTTATAAAGCAGACGGAGGAGAATCTTAAAGAGGGAGACTTCAGCACAGAGTGCAGCGAAGTTTAGCGCATACAGAAAAAATAAAATAGTGCAGTTACACTTAGTAGACAACTTTAAAATTAACCATAATTATGACATCTCTGCAGTGTTTTTAGTTTGAATTAATACAAGTGTTCTGTGTAGAAATGCTTTGCAGAACTATTTGTCTTCATTTACATCTCTATAAACAATGCTGTTAAATGTGATCCCAATGACAATGACATTCTTCTGGTCATCATCATGCTGTACTGTTCATTTTTAAAATGAGTATTTGCACTAATGTGAATTCAATTTAAAAATTGGAAACGTTCTGTTGATCACACAGTTCATCGTTTGTAGCAGCCCCGAGACTGAGACTTGAAGGATACTAGTTATATATAGGCAGCTCCTTATCCTTATAAGGCCTCAGGCAGTGGTACGGGGGTCGGTTGCTGGCGGGTGGAGGTTTGTTGGCCCGGTGCTTGGTTTAGGCTGACTCCCTGTGGGTTCAGGCTGTCACCCGAAGTCACAGCAAAGGATATCCTCGAGGGGTAAGAAAATTAATTGAACTATTCATTTTTTAATATTGTATTTAATATCAGCTTTTTCTGTTTTGTAATGAGTGTAGCTGGTGAAATGAAATGGATGGAGGTATAGAGTGCAGGTTGCACAGATCCCAACCTGGACAACAGGAATGAGAATTTGGATGTTTGTGCAACAAAAATGTTGGACTGTACTTGAGATTAATGATTATTTCGGGCCGTGATTGATTTTTTTCTTTTGACAGACAGGAAATTTAGCATGTTGGTGGTAGAATGAATGGTCATATTTGGTAGGAACCCTCAGGCCTAAAATTGCATGGGAAAAAAAGCTGATGTTTCTTTATACTCCTGAATTAAAAAAACCTTGATATTCGAAAAATGACTGTGATGTGAAATATTGTATTTTAACTGTGACCCTAAGAAACGCTTAGGTGTCATTTACCAGACATTTATGGTGTTAAGACACTGACAATAGCAGAGGACTGTCATTGGAATTGGAATGCACATAGGATTCAGGCTGAGAACACAACCCGCCTGCAGGTCAGGTGACTGGATGACTTTAATGCTTCATATTGTATCACTGAAGGAACATACCTAGTTATGGGATGATGTCTTGTAATAGCACAAGTGATGATGTCATGTTCATTGGCAGCTACAGTATGTGAAAGACCATATGTTCTTCACAGATCTAATTATCGTTCATGTCTGCAAACAAACTCTTGAGCAATGTTATTGTTTGGGTTTATTCTTCCCAGTATTGTCTCACAGATCTTCCACAAATTATTAAACTGTGATACAATTAAAGATCTTTACAAACAGTGGGAATAATCCTTTAAATTATCAGCCACAGTATGTAGTATGGGAATGTGTCACTATCAAGAACCTTGTCTTGGTGTTCTGAGCAATTCCTGCATCAAACCTCTGCTCATTACATGTAGTACACTCTTGCCTGTCTGTTTGATTGACTGTTTTGGGGCAGTGGCCTCTGGTAATGGTGACCCTGAAGCTGGATGAGTCTTTAAGTGATGTTGAAGTAGCAAAGCTGGGCAAAGGAGAATCGCTTCATGTTTCATCTGACCTTATTTCTCGCCCCTTGAGCCTTGGGTGATGTAAGATAATTATTTTCCACTGTGTGTGATGTAAAGTACAGTTATGCAGTTGTGGCCTCATTTAACACAACCACTAATATCTGATGGTACACGGTATTTGGAAATTGTGTCCTGTCCTCACCTAAACTTGAAAACACTTGGCTTAGGGATTAATGAAGATAGGCCCAGTTTATAGTTTCATGTCACAGAAGTAGATCTAAAGAAACTTCTTATACAGGAGGTTTTAAATGATGTGAAAAATGTCTCTCATCCAGTGAGAAACTGATTAAAATTGTCATTCATTTTCTTCTTCAAAATTCAAAGTCACAGTATACTGTATTGCACTTGATAGAAGTATTCAAATGTTTACATCACAGCCTGATTAGTTCATATATTGGTGCTTCTGATTGGTCAAATTTGCATGACTTTCAGGATGACATGACTTAAACGACACTCAAAAAGTTTCACGTTCTTTTCTCCAATAGTCTTCACTATGATTCAGCAGTCAGGTGTCAGGTTTGTTTTGGTCCACCAGATTATTCTGATTCTGATTATATTTGTGAATAAGCTCCCCATCACCTCTTCTTGGTGGTTCCATTCTTTGTCCAAACAACCTTCAGCTGGGAACTAACAGCTAGCATGCAGTGTGCAGTTTATCTGACATATAATGCACTATCAATCAGCAGCGTAAAAAAAACATTTGGAATCTGACTGCTGGACTGCACACCTGATGTATTTTTGGACTGGGATAAACCTGGCAAAATGAGCATAAGAAAAACATGGATGTAATTTAGACATTAGCAATCCTCTGTGGATATGCAGAGATGCAAGTCATGACTAAGGCTTGTCACGTATACAAGGTATGTTTGTTTGAGAATTTTCATAACCCACAAGTATTTGGATGTTGGGGTCTTGTATCAGGATGAGGGGTTTGAATCAGAAAAAGGAAAATATGATCAGTCAAGGAAGGATCAGAGTAACGGGCTGGTGAAAGCATTGTATCTATGAACTTCGCACAATAGAGACATGTGATGTGCAGTTTCTAAAATATTTTTTAATGAAGAAGGTCTGATTTACTTTGTTAAGATTGTTTATTATAAAACTTGGTGTGTCTTTCTCACAGGTGTCACAGCAGCAGATAATTTGCATTAGTTATTTAGCACAGTGTTTACCAGTTAGTTCAAAACCACAACCTCCTGAAGGGAAAAAAACCTAGCTTCCTTCAACTGAACTTGGGCTACATCAGTCATATCATGGCAGCATCTGTTCCAACAAAACACACCTGTAGGAACCGTCTGTCTAAATTTAGAACTGTCTTTGTTAAGTCCTCTCTCTTGGCCTTTGACACATCTTCTTTTTTGGTCTAACAATAGGCCACTCTTCATTCACGGCTCTGTTTATGTTTATGTCCATGTGTCTACGTTGCTGGTGTTGTAAATCAAACCTAGCTATCTTGTCATTGCGTGAGCCGTCTGCCAATAGACTCTTGTGTTAATGTGTATATGTATGTGACGGCTTTGTCTTGTCTAAATTCCAGGGAGGGCGGTCTACTTTACAAGGGATAAGAAAGCAATCATTATTGGCTAACGTTGTTGTAATGTAAAGCTGTGAGCATAAAGAAAGACTGGATTTAACTTCCAAAAATCTCCACGTCCCCTCACAGGACACAATCAACAGTTCTCTTGTCTTTGTTTGAGACTGAAATTTCTGTGTGTTTGTTTGTCTCTGTAACGACCGCTGATATTTCAAGGTGAGAATTCACTGCACTGTACCATACTTGTGTTTTGTCTTTGTGTTTGTTGCTGGTCCAACAGGTCAGTACAGACAGTGTCACCATGTCAGTGTGGAGCAAACGTGGGACATACAACCAAGAGTACTACCACAAACAGAGCCAATATGTGGTTAAGGAATACAGCAGGTACAGCATAGACAAATGATATCTATAATTATGCCTGGATATCATAAAGTCTAACACGGTAGTTTATTAGATCCATTATCATTACTAATAGTATCACTAATATACCAGAGGTGTGGACTCAAGTCACATGACTTCGACTCGAGTCACAAATTGAATGACTTTGGACTCGACTTGGACAGTACCATCAAGTGACTCGTGACTTCACTTAGACTTGAGCGTTTTGGACTTGAAAAGACTTGCTTCTATCCTGTTGCTGTGTAGACACTTTAAATGAAAGAATGGATGAACGCACTCCGCAACAGTCACCTGAACTGGCTGTTAAAAAACACCCCGTCCTTAATAACGCCGGACACAAACTACCGCGGAACCTTTGTTCCGCTACCACTCCCGAACCTTAGTTCCGCCCCGTCTTATCAGTCTGCATTTTTTTCCAACTTCGTTTGACATCTGAAGTTGCACAAGGAACGGTACGTTTTAAATTAAGTTAACGTAAGTAAAATGTTCTAAAACTGTGTAGCGAAATCTATGATAATTACTAATAACAATACATTAGAAACACGGTAATGAGTGGGATTTAAATGTGCGCTCAATTAAGAATAAGTGCGCCATTTTAGTTTTCCTAAAGACGGACTTTGCAGACAGGAGAACAAAGTTACACTGATGGTTATTCTCACTCTCAGTCAATTGACAAAAACACCAAGTTTACCTCGCGGGAAATGTGAGTTACTGGTCAGGAGGCTTTCGTACTTTACTCGAAATTGAAGCTGCAGGACTTTGGGTTGGACTTGTGACTTGTGAGTCTTTGACTTCGGACTTGAGGTAAAAGTCATAACTTGTGACTTGTAAGACAATGACAGGGTCCCGCCTCTGCCAAAAAACAACTGTTAGACTTGGTTTAGGATAACCTTCAGCACATTAACTTTGCATATTTTTAACACAGGCTTCTTTAACCACTACTGTAGCGCTCACTGTGACACTGTAGGACACTCTACCTCCATGTTTAGTCTGTGTGTTTATTTGACTGTTAACGCAACTAGATTCATGTCTAACGTTCATTCTTCATTTTCTTGCCACTGTTCACTTTCTTGTTTGTTCTTGATTGTTCTTGTTTCAATATTTGCTGATCAGCAGCTACATATAACTCTACACACAAGTTGGAGAGTCAAACTAAGTTTTAACATTTTCTTTAACCTATTGAAGTTGCTCTGTTTTTGCTACAATAGAGCATAAAATGTTCTCTTTTTTTCTAGCTTCAGGTAAGTATGTTGGCTTTTATTTGTACCCAATGTTTTTTTGAGAACTGTGTTGAGTGTCAATTAAATTAGATCCTCTATCTTTTGAAGAAATATTTGTATGCAGAGTTTGCTTGAAAGTCTATCATTTTCCAGATGGATATATTTGTCATAGTTGATAAGCCACACCACTGCGATGTGCATTTAGTTCTTCTTTTAGTAAGGAACAATCTCACTGATGAGATGAATGGATGAACATCTCCTCCGCTTCTTGAACTTTGATGGAGGTAGAGAACAGGCTTCTGCCCTGAACCCTTAAAAACAGTCCTTAAAAAACAGAGATGGATCTTAATTTCTTCATTTTTTATTAATAATTATTATTTTCGTTTAGGTCAGAAACCAGCTCCAGGCCAAATATGACTTTCAGGGAACAAGGAACCTAAATGTTATTATTCTTTTTTTTGGATTTTTACTCCCCTGTTAGCTGTTAAATGTTTTTTGATGTGTAATTTTTTTTAGCTCTGTAAAGATGGAGGAACGATATGAGCATAAAAAACAATCACGCATCCAGGAAGTGGTAAGTCAACAATCAAATGTCAGTTTAAAGATGAGTAGAGTAATGTAAATATAGGTTGTTTGTTATCTCCCTTATCTACTTTCCTAGGTCACCACAAAGATGAAGGAGAAATATGTGCGTGAGGAGCCAATGATCAGGGGACCAAGCTTTGTGGTCCGACTCAGGTCCCACACTGTGTATGAAAACACTCCCATCAAACTCTTCTGTACTGTGGAGGGCTTTCCCTTACCATTGGTCAAATGGTAAATAAGACATAAAATAAGACATTAATTAAATAAATAAACACCCACATTGTGTTAAAGAAAAATAAAATTCTGTCGCAAAACTGTAATTTTCTTTCCTTACAGGTACAAAGATGGTGTGATTTTGGACATTTCCTCTGGAAGGTATCTAGTAACATCCAAAGGTGGAAGCCACGCCCTGGAGATTCCCAGGTACAGTAATGGGAACTGTTGTTTTAGGCTGGGGACCCACTACACAACATTCAGTTATTAAACAAGTCAGTTGAAAAAACTCAAACCAGGGCTGTAATTTTTTTTATTTTTTATCATTAACCAGGTTTATAATGATCGTAACTAATGAGGTAACTAAAAAAAGTGCACAACATCAATCCAGAAAAATTAACATTCCTACATATAACAAATATATAAAAACTGTATTGAAGGAACATTGAGACAAATAACACTAGATTTGTATTTATTTCATATTTCCATAAGATGAAAGGATAGAATTATTTAAATAAAAAAAAAGTACAACTCCAGTTGGTACTTTATAGAGATGTTTTAATTTTAGACATTACTGTGTGTCTTGATGGTGGCGTGTGGAACACAGTGAGAAATTTCAGTGAAGCCGTTGTCATCAATGATATGTGTCTACAGTCAGTCATAGTCCATTGACAACTATGGCAGTGAGCTTGTCAGGCAGGTCTGACGCAACCCAGGCATCCAGCCTCTACATACATGTTCGGAGTTGACAGCTGAAGCTCTGTGAACTTTTGGGCAGTGTGTGCAATGGCATGTTTTTTCGACAATTAATCAGACCAATGATTTGTGGAGATACAGTGCAAAACTAAGGTGACATTTTTTTAAAAATTCATATTTGAGATTCATAGGTTAAACTGTTGACCCTAATTCCAACACGCCTGTTCTGCGTACACACTATCGGATTCTCATACACTAACAGATTATGTGTCACATTGTCACGCAATGTTGACTTTATCTACCGGTATATCAGATTTGGTCCGACTTAAAATGTTTTGGCAGTGTGTTATTTGCCAAAACCTAGTCATTAAGAGTGATACTCTGAATCTGTGCAGCATTTACAGTATGCTGCACAGAAGGCACAAGAACACCCATCCAGATCTGTGGGCAGTTCTCCCTCTCTCTTCCTCTCTCTCTTCAAAAGCTCAGCTGTTCATGTGCTGACCTCAGTGCCACATGATCCTCCCAGATTCCTTCAGCCATGACTCCCTCCTTGGAGCCACTCAACTCCAGTTTCTTCCTATCTTTTTCTCTGCACTACGCACACTTGCAGATCAACCTAATATTAAGCTCACTAGATTTGTTCAAAACATTAATGTAAGTTTTTGCATATGGAGATTTATTTAGTTAGGTTTCTTTTTTTTGTATGAAAAGAGTATGTTGCTCACCCTCCTGTCCCTCCTCTGCAGTCCGCAATAAAAGTGGTTGAGACTTCAAGACATGCAGAAGCCCTCTGGTGATATGACACCTCGTGACTGCCAGCAGTAAATCACAGCGGCGTTCTTTATTTTGACGCCAGATAATTAAAAAGGTTTTAGAGGGAGTGATTCAATAGGATTAGAATCGGAAATTTGAAAAAAAAAAAAAAGTTGACTTAGAACTAGCCCAGTGCTAAATAAAAAAAAAGAAATTTTATAAAAATAAACATTACATTACAATACATTTAGCAGATGCTTTTATTCAAAGCCACTTATAATTTGAGACATTTGAAAATTAAGAAAAAAAGTCAGACACAACTGAACTTCTTGCTTGAATGAATTTTACAATTTCACACCATGGGATTATTATTTTTGTGATTATTAATAAAACAAATCACTTTTAATGCCTAATTTCCTGATTTTATATATTTCATATATGGTCAATAATTTCTTTTTTCTTCTTCATGTTGGCTATTATAAAACTGTTTTTCAGTAAGTTCTCAATTCTCCAAATATGTCTTTTACAGATGCACGACTGACGATACAGCCATGTACACAGCAGTTGCTGGAAACCTCCACGGCCAGGTCTCCACTCAGGCCTCTGTCATTGTCAAGAGTAAGTCTTCAACATCTGCTGTCAATTTTACAAATCTATTTATTTATTTACAGTTTGAACTCATCACAATCAGTGTTTAACCCTGTGGTTTATTTTATTTGTATGTATTTAGGATACAGGGAGGAGGATGAGAGCTGCTCCTATGCCTGGCTGCCTTTCACAGGTAACTCCACAAATAAATCTGCATCAACTACAGCAGTGATCATCAACAACACGGCTGCCTAACTGTTCGATCCGGCCTGAGTTTGGGTTACAAAATTCAAAGAGGAAATATTATGTGGTGTCCACTATTAAATCAATTGAAAAAAACCCCAACAAACTGAGACTTAAATAACTAACATTAATCAGTAAGGACTATTTAAAAAAATTAGTTTATTTCATTTTTTTGAGAGCCTGTCCTCAAAAATACCTGTCCAGAAAACTTCTGACCCTCAATCAGATATATATATATATAGTGACCCATGTGCAGTTTCCGTTTTCTAGTCTATTAAATGCTTAACTGTGCTTTGGTGTGGAGTGACACCAACTGTTGTATTTTTTTTTTGTTATACTAATTTTGTCCCTGTTCTACAGCTGGTATGCTCCCTGAGGTCCAGTACACCAAAATCAACATCTCTTTTGTGGAGAAGTTTGAACCTGTGTTCGCATCCGAGGGAGGATCTGCCTCCTTGTCTGCCTCCATGGTCCTGGAGCCCAACCTGGCCAACCTGCAGCCAGAGGCTCAGTGGTATAGAGACGGTAATTGTTGTAAAATAAAACATTAGGGCAAAGTAATTCCGTTCTAATTGCGGATAATATACGATAGCCACGATGGTTACGGTTCCTCTCGATGCATTTCACACACAGCCCCAGGCGCAGCTATGGACCGAAAAGATTTTACAGCCACATTTTTTACTGCTAATTAATTATACAGGAAGGAGCGATAGATTTTTGTAATATACCCCCGGTTCATGGGCAGCAATTTATGATGTGTGTCTACAAGACTTAATTATAGATGTCATTTTGCATAAAAGTAATTGGCTAATCTTCACGAGTGACTATGCAGTAAGACCTTATGTTTAATTTAGTGTAGACTTTTCGCATTTGTGAGAACGGCGACAGTAAATCCTGTCTCATTCTCCAGACGTTCGTCTCTTTGACTCTAAGTGGGTGAAGATTGAAACTGGCAGAGGATTCACCAAACTGACGATCCCTAACCTGTACAAAGATGATGAAGGAGTGTACACACTACGCATGGTAACCAAGGGAGGCATTGCAGAGCACAGAGCTTTTGTCTCTGTTGCAGGTGAGTGATGCCAAATAGCAGGCTCTTCTAACGCCCCCTCACCCCCCCAAAAAAACAATAACTGTAGTGTAGAGTCAAACCAAGTCTCCCTGTCATTCCCTGTGTAGATGGTCCTCCCCCTGTTCCCAATGCCCCTGGTGCTCCCATGGACCTCAGGATCCATGATGCCAATAGAGACTATGTCATTGTGTCATGGAAGCCACCAAACACCACCACAGAGGGTCCAATCCTGGGATACTTTGTGGACAAGTAGGAATTACTGACATAAGCACCATAGATACATAAACTGACCAACATAAAGAAGACTGATTATTGTAAGTCATCATATCATCACATATTTGTATGCATATATATATATCTTATCATCACATATTTGTATGCATATATACAGAGTCATCATATCATCACATATTTGTATGTATATATATATCCATAAATATATACATACATTTACATACATGTATATACTGTATTTATATATATGTTTAAAAATATTTAAAAAAGAATATATATACACATAAACACACTATATATAGATATATATATATTTACATATATGTATATATTTACACATATATACGTATATATGAACTGATTTCACTCCAAGCACAGCGGCAGGAAACCTGACTGAGCTGCTCTTGCTCTGCATTGTTCCTGTAAACGTAACAGCTCACTTCCTTTCCAACATGAATTATATCCCTGTTGTCAGATTAATCACTGCAATCATCATCTTAGTTTCCACGGGTTTTATCAAACAGCACTTTCATTTCAAGTCAACCCTAAAATTATAATGATACATTACAGGCTGTTAAACCCAATTACTGCACAGTTAATGCCCAAATATTGGTTCTAATAAAACCTCTTTGTTAACCAGTCTGTTCCAGTTAATGCCCAAATATTGGTTCTAATGAAACCTCTTTGTTAACCAGTTTTTTTTTTTTCCTTTCTCAATTTTTCTAGATGTGAGGTCGGAACAGAGAACTGGACGCAGTGCAATGACCATCCCATTAAGATCTGTAAATACCCAGTGTCCGGGCTGTTTGAGAGTCACTCTTACTACTTCAGAGTCAGAGCAGTTAACTCTCATGGTATTAGCAAACCATCCCGCATATCTGACCCAATTGCTGCTCTGGATCCCACTGAGTTTGAGAGGCTTCATGGTGAGTTTGAGGATAAGAACAGGAGGTTTTTAAAGTATAGTCAATGTAAACTCTGGACAAATAAAGTGTCAGCGGTCTTTTGGTCAAGATATGGTTTTTGAATGCTAAAGAAAATTGTGTCTTACTAACTGTATTTCAGAAAATGGTTCCAAAATGTACTTTATCATATTAGTGATATAGGAAAAATAAAGACAAATAAGACTCTACTATATACCAATTCATTTAGCGTACCTAATAAGGTGGCCAATTAAATGTATGACCATCATTATAATCCAACAACAGATTTTATCCACATTGGTATCAGGTTAAATCAAATGTACGTTTCTGTTTTCCTGCAGCCAAAAAGCTTGGAGGAAACCTGGATGTAGTGTCTTACCATGATGTAGTTGAAGGTAGGTTGTTGAGGCAGAAATTACAAGTTACAAAAGGATGTCTAGTAAAAGCCAAGATATAAAGTGCAGAAGGAAGTAATACATATGTATTCCCCAGAGGAAGGGAAGCCTCCAGGAGCTCCATCCGGAATCCGTGTCTCAGAAATAGACAGAACCTACGTGGTTCTCAGCTGGAAAGCTCCGGCCTACGGTGGCAAAGCTCCAATGTGGTACTACATTGAAAAGGTAACAGTAGCTAAAACCACTGACTACTGACTTTAACATTTAGTTACTCTGGTGTTGATAAGGTTTTATGTAAGACTGTTGTCTCAGTGGGCTGCTGAAAACATGAGGGAAGAAATGGTAAACATGTGGCCAAAATACTAACATAATACATAAAGTGAACAGTAGATCAACTAAATAAGTGTCCGCACAAAGTTCTAGAACCTAAAAAAAAAAACTCAAACTCTCTTAAAGAATCCCTGGTGCAATTTAACAAATTAAAAAAAATTTAAATTTCAAAGTTTTTTATTTTTTAGAAAAATCTAATAATAAGAGCCTTTATAATTAATTAATAGCAATTCATATTAATTTAATTCCTCAGTTTCCTATTATATTCCACAAAATAACATTTTTAAATTAAATTAGTTAATAAAATTATTTTAGTTGACAACTGAATCAATGATCTGATCTGCAGTTTAAGACACTGTTGGACAACTCAGTCCAAAAAGTCCTAGTAAGTGATAAAAGGCCTAAGAGAAAGAGAAAAGTGCTCTTAAAGTGGCAACAGCAAACTGACTTCACACAAACTCCTTACTCCTTACTTCCTGTTAACCCTTTTCTGTCTGTCTTCACAGTGTTTGGCTAACAGTGAGGCCTGGCAGCGTGTCAACACTCAGGTTCCCGTTCGATCCCCACGTTATGCTGTCTTTGACCTGGCTGAGGGCACAGAGTATAAGTTTAGAGTGTTGTCAGCTAATATCCATGGAACCAGTGCACCGTCGGAGCCGACACGACCCATCACGACTCAGCAAATTAAAGGTCAGGCTATCTGTTATGGCTTAATGGTTATAAGTTATAAAATGAGGCCAGATCACAATAAATAATTCCAGTTGTTGTAAGATTTTTCTTTTGTCCTCTAGGTGTGCCATCAGCTCCTGGACAGGTAGTTGCCACAAGGCAAACCGACACCTCTGTCCTCATCCAGTGGGCTGCTCCGAAGGAACCAAACAATCTGATTGGCTATTACATTGACCAGTGTGTCAAAGGTTCCAAGGACTGGACTTCTTCCAATCACAAACCTCGCAAGGAGACCAGGTATGTATTCACCTAGTATTGGCAAGAATCTGGAGGTACGATACGTATTTCACTACAGGGGCAACAATACGATATATTGCGATGCTATAGGCACGACAATATAGTTTGATATAATTTTTTAAGCAATTTAATTGTAGAAACACTGTCAGTACAGTAGACACACTAGAAAAAACACAACCATCTGCTACTTTTTCAGGTTTGTGGTAAGTGGTCTGACCACTGGTGAATCCTACGTGTTCCGTGTCCAGGCTATCAATGAGATTGGTCTCAGTGATGAGTCCCAGGAGTCTTCTCCTCTGAGTGTCAAGGCAGCCCTCAGTCAGTACTGCTTTATTTGCTCTTATTATATTTAATCAGACTCAGGATAAGGACGGTAACAACAAACTTAGTTTACTTACAAATCAATGTTGCCTTTGCAGCCACTCCCTCTGCTCCTTATAATATTGCTCTGATCAACTGTGATGGTACTTCAATGGTCCTGAGCTGGAAGAAGCCTCTTCAGTCTGGAGGAGCACCGATCAAGGAGTACTATGTGGACAAGAGACGCAGCGGGACATCCATGTGGAGGGAGGTCCATATCCCTCCACTGTCTGAGAGACTTTACAGGGTACAGGAACCTCACACTGACACCACCACCAAACCACAAAGATGAGATTGTTACAGTTTTACATTAGACTGGATTTGTCTTATTAATACCTGGCAGTTCTTCTACTAACTCCTCTATGATGCTGCATTATTGCCAGGTGGGGGGTCTGACTGAGGGGGGAGTCTATCAGTTCCAGGTTTACGCCGCTAACCTGGCTGGTCTTGGACCAGCATCCAAACATTCAGCTGACTTCACCTGTGAGGCCTGGACCTTCCCTGAGCCCGGTCAGTAAACACCATTGTCTAACAGAAAAGTGTTAGCAATTTATAAGGTTTACCAAATATATAAACATATGTATTCTTTTGATATTTGACTATTTTCTATTTAAAGATAGCTAAATACTGTAACAAAACCTGATGACATCTCTTCTGTCAATCCTAACACAGGTCCAGCCTATGACCTGACTTTCTGTGAAGTCAGAGATGATTCTTTTGTGGTTGAATGGCAAAAGCCTCTGTACACTGGTTCTGGACCAATCACAGGCTACCACGTTGAGTACGCCAAGACAGGCACTTCAGACTGGGTCACATTCAACGAAACAACCACCACTAACCATTTCCTGAAGGTGAGCGGACATCTTAAACCTCCGAGTCTTTCTTAGCAATGACTAAATCATTTTCCACATTTAGAAAAGACAAATATTTACAGACTGTGGTCCAAATTATAACCAAATTGATCAGAACATGGTGAAACTTCATCAAATATATCAATTGAGGTTAAACAAGAATTTTTGTAAAAATATATAGATTACATTAAGAGAAAAAATGAAGAAACAAAATGATTTCCTCCTACATTAGATTACTTCAACTACTATCCTTTTCCTCATCCAGTCAGTAGTCTATAGACTTGTGTGAAACACTGACATCTAGCGGTAATTTTAAGCGGTTACTTTCCACACTAATCAAAAAACATTAACTGAAAATTAATAAAAATACAGACATGAGTTATAGAAATATAATTTGTTTTATTATTAAGTTGTTATTGTCAACATATTCACAAGAACATTTCATTAATGAGTCCCATTTTGGGGAATTTTCTGTATTGTCTACATAATAAAAAGTTGATGATTGTTGGTCAAAGTCTTCGTATTTGTGAATGCCTCAGGTGACAGGGCTGGAAGTGGGCAGCACCTACATCGCAAGGGTGAGACCAGTCAATGCTGCAGGTGTAGGAATGGCTTCAATGACGTCTGATTCTGTGACAACCAAGGCTGTAGAAGGTAACTGTTTTATCTCAGTAGTGTTTTTACTAAAATTATTTGCAGCTACTTATGTGTGTGTTGCCATCTGCAGGCCTGAAGGAGGTCTCCTGTGTGGTGGACGAGAAGACTGGTGATATTGTCTTTTCATTCGAGTCTTGCCAAATGAACTTTGGCTCCAAGTTCGTTTGGAAGAAGGATTATATGGAAATAACAGATTTCTCCAAAGGAGTGGAGATTAAGACTGAAGCAACACGTATGTAAAACAAAAAAAAAACAAACTACGTTTTCATTGGATGTTTAAAAAAAATTAAACCCAGGAAAGGCTTAAATGAAGGAAAAATGTACAATTACCATAATAATAATAATTACCACATCTTTGTTCACTGTTCTACATTACAGTTCCAAGCTGATCTTCAAGAACCCAGACAAAGATGACTTTGGAACCTTCTCTGTTGCTGTCACCAACACTTCTGGAATCTCCTCCAGCTACTCCATCACTGCTGAAGGTACTGTAGGACAGAAGTCCCTTCCTAACTGTACGTCTGCTCCTGACAGTGTTATGTATTAGTAAACAACACTAGTTGCAAATGTAAAATAAATATAAATTTACGTGTGGTATATGGACTATATATGAGCATTAGGGCAGTCAAAATTAAAAATTAAATTCATTTGTGAAATTAATCATTGTCCAACAATCCAACAATTTCACATTGATGACCAAAGTCCACTAGGAATCCCCTACTTTTGCACATTGTTCCTTGTTAATAATCCCATCATTTGGATTACGTCACGATTAGGGATGTTAATTAATCCAGGAATGTTGGTTCAAAAATTGAATCTTTTGACAGTGTTTGTATAGAACAGTAAAACATTTGAAATCCAAGAACTTAGTCCAAATCCATCTGGTGAGACGAGAGCATTCAGACGAACGGAGGCCAACAGTCGGGTGTAATGAGGACATGAGTGCAGAGACTTTTTCATAAAAACTATCGCACATCAAACCAACAGTTTTGTAACACAGCTGATGAAACTTGTAGAACACATTGCTCACAGTAGTTTTCCACGCTCACGGCAGAGTGTGTGCTGTAAAACCTCATCTTCCTGTTAGAAAGATTAATTTCTTATTCACTGCGTCCTGTTCCACTGATTACTTCCTATTTGGCCTCCAGTTTCTTTCTCAGCCCAACTCAGATAACGAGAGATTTGATTGTTACTTTGTTAGTGTTATTTGTTTGATTCATACCAATGATGACAATTTAAAGCTCATATCTGAAGTGATTAACACTAGGCAACCGTTTACACTCACATTCACACCTAGGGTTAATTAAGAGCGAACGATTGACCTAATGTTATTGGACTGTTTGAGGAAACCTGAGTAGCAAACGTGCATTAACAGGAAGTCCATACACTGAACCAGTGATCTTCTTAATGTAAGGCAAGACTACAAACCACTCTGCCTCCATGTGGCCTTACAATGAACAGATAGAAAAAATAACATTTTAAAATTGGCCTAAAAGTAATAAAAGATTTCTGCTGCACCAGATTTTAGACACGGGCACTTTATCTAATAACCTATTAGTCTTATTATTACTATGTTTAAACTTAATAGAAATGACTGTCTTTTTTGGGGACACTCTTCTGATCTGACTTGATGCTGTTAATGTGTTAAAGTTTGGTTAAACATTATGATACAATTTCCAATTATATTAAGATACAATTACCACAGTCCAGCCCTTTTGACCAGATACAATCACAACAATAACTGCAGTTTAAATTAAATTTTCATGACAAACTGTATTAATTTATTAAAAAGCTGTTTTTGACCATATCTGAATGACTTTTGTGTTCTTTTCTTGTTTCTCCAGAGTTGGTGAAGATGCTGGCCCTCAGCCATGACATCAGACATCCAAGTAAGAATCCTTGACTTAGCCTTAAAATCTCAAATAATCTCAGCCGTACTTTCTCTCTCTTTCTCTCTCTGTCTGTCTCTCTCTCTCTGTCTGTGACTGCCACTTGTGCTGTCATTTAGATCAGTTCAAAGTTACTTTGAACATTTCAGACCTCCATTTTTGGTCAAAATTTCTCTTTTTATTTGATCCCGAAAAAAAAAAAGTCTTACAATCTTTTGCATCACCTGCCTAACCGCTACTCACCTCTCTTCTCCTGACCAACACCTCCTACTCTCCTCGCCTCATTATAAATTTACCCTCTCTCCTCCACTTCCTCCCTCCTATAGTCATCCCACTGAAGTCGGAGCTGTCCTACAAGATTTTGGAGAGAGGAAGAATGAGATTCTGGCTGCAAGCCGAGGAGATTTCTTCCAATGTCACGTACAAATTCTTTGCAAATGACAAAGAGCTGTCCGGAGCCGATGTAAGATATAATTTAAAATTGGACATACGTACAGTTGGAAGGGGTTAAAGATTAATGAAAATATTTCACCCACATTTTATGACTATTGTGCAACTTTGTCCATGTTTTGCAGCCAAACAAGATGGGCCACAACATCTCCACAGGTGTTATTGAATTCATCATGGACCATTTCACCACGGAGAATGAAGGCACATATACCTGCCAGATTAGGGATGGAGGAGGCAAAGCCCAGAGCACCCTGGTTCTGATTGGAGACAGTGAGAGATTTAGACGTTTACTGTATATAAACACACGAGCCGTCCCCAGTGTTCCCATCTCATATCTGTCTGTTCATGCCAACAGCTTTCAAGGCAGCACTGGCCGAGGCCGACTACCAGAGGAGAGAGTACATCCGTGTCAAGGAGGGTAAGAACAGAAAGCCCCAGATTTTCAGCACAAAACTCTGCTGTCATTTGTCTTTCCTGTTCAAGCCTTTACACAGAAAAACTGTTTTTGTTACATTTATGAATGTTGACTTATTGTGTATAATCCACATCTAGATGAAACATTTACGATACCTAAAAATATAGCAGTAAATGTATCAACCTCAACCTAGCATAGAAATAGGTAAATTTAGCCTAAAGATAATTACAAGTTTGCTAAAAAAAATATCCAAGGTTGTCAAAATGATCTCTGAAATGTCAAAGTTTTACAACAACGGTTAAAAATCTTAGCCTGAAATTCAAGTTTTTAAGATAGTCTTTAAAAATACAACCTTTGGAAAAGCCAATATCCTGCTTGGTTGGCTGGCACATAAAATCTCAAATCAAAGCGTAACAACTGGTCCCTGGTCTGACCTTTGGATATTTTAATGAGAAAAGTCACCCCACCACAGAACAATATACTTAAATCTGAAGCAGGATATTTGGCGCTAAGAATGTTAGAAACGTTCTCAGGTGTGAGCCTATTATGTTACGTCTCTAACGATCACGGGCAACAAGTACTTTGTCTTTAATTAATTCGCTCCTCCTGGCCTTTTCTCTCCCCTGATTTTATCCACTTCAGGCCCTCACTTCAGCGAGTTCCTGTCACTACAGATTGGAGACGACTGCTCCGTCACTTTGGTCTGCAAGGTAAACACAGCGCAACTCAATAAGTATCGAACATTTCCCCTCCACAAACACAGCGGAGGTCGGCGTGGCTGACTCGCGGCGGGGTGATTAGCTGTTCTCTGGAGGCTGAGCTCTGGATGTAGCCTAATGATAAGGTCCACATTAAAACAAGTGTAATTAGTCTGTCAGTTATTGTTCAGTGTTTGTAACTGGAAACTGTGCAATTAGGAGCTTAAGTGATGTTTACTGCTAAAAAAAAAATAGAATAATGTCACGGTCAGGTCAGCCAAGACTCCAAAAGTTTGTGTATTTAGGGGAAAATTAGATATTCTCATAAAATGAGTATGGCCGTCAAATGATTAAAAGTCCTAATCTGATTAAAATCAACGTATTATTGTTATCTTTAGTTTTATTGTTATATGTATAATATGACAACAGTGTCAGTTTTTGTTTAATGCAGACAAATTGGTTTCTTTTCCCACTGAAATAGCCTTCAGTTAATGAGAACAAGTGAAACATTACGGCAAAATTAATGTTTATTGGAAAAACGACGGCAATTGTTGGTTTCCCTTCTCTTCTGTAGAATTATTTCATATGGAAACAAACTTTAGTTTAGGTTTTTGTGCAAACTAGAACAACCAAAGCTTAATGTTATAAACACAGGAGAAATTAAATTTGGAATAAATATCTTTATCTGTAGTTTATTTTTAATAAAAAAAGGAAATCTTTTTTTTCCACAGACCAACATAAAACAAAATGTATGTGCTATAACATACGCATACACTACAAATCCTGCCAGTATATAGTGCCACACTAGTACACATTTGATATGATCTTGTGGGCCAAATATAATTACACTGCGGACCAGATTTGGCCCCCGGGCCTGAGTTTGACACATGTGCATTACGGGCTGTAAACATTTTCCTTCCAGTCCTCACACACACAGACACACACTGCACGTCACCCTATTACCCACAGCTGTCACCTATATAACACTGCCTTCCAGTTTAATGGCTATTCACTGAAACCCCAACATAAGGGATTTGAAAATCCAAACCCGTATCAGTTGGTAAAAAAAAAATGTTATCAGAAAGTCAAACCCACAAAATATTGTCAGTGCTGCAGGGAGTGTTGGACATGTTTCTTTTTAATTGCCTGTAAAAGAAAGTGAAACCTTGTTCACAGATGTGATGTCGAATGCTTTTCATCACAGGTTGCTAATTTGAAGAAGGAGTCAGAGTTCCACTGGTACAGAGAGGATAAAGAGATCATCCCTGACGTGAAGCCTGACCTTGGAGCAGGAGTCTGCAAACTGCCAATTAAACTGGTAATTACACTTTGGCACGGCTGACTGTTTGCATACAGTGATGCTATTTGTAAAGCTGCAGGAGCCAAGTCCTGAACTCTGTTTAGATTCTTGTGTTTTCTTTGGTACCGAAATGACTTTGCTGTGCTGTTTCACCAGTTTTCACTGAAGACTGCAGGCATCTATAAGGCCACCATCAGTGATGACAGAGGAACAGACATGAGCCAGATTGATATCTCTGGAAAAGGTAAAGTAATTCACTAACTGGCCTGTAACTCAGCGTGAATACATAACAACCTAATGAGCTGTGACAGGAAAACAGCTGAAGAGCAGCTTAAGGAGCAGAAAAAAACAGGATTGAAATTCATGTACTTTGGAATTACATGGAAAACTAATGAGTTTTTAACACACCCTGCAACCCAAACCTTGTTGTTCTAACGGCTGCATAAACACAGATCTTGTTATTTCAGAAAAATATTTCCTAAATTTTGTTGCAAAAGTTGGTGAGGAGTCGACCTAAGCTGTTGAGCTGCCGTAAGCCTGTTTTTGTGTTTAATGGAAGCTGGGTTGAGCCTTACTTTCATCCACACAGGATAGGATTTATTCCTCAAAGAGTTTACCTCAGCCAGAGAAATACAACATTCCAAAGTTTCCAAAGTTAGCCCCAAAAATAGCTGCTCTTACATCACATATGTACTCCAGTTTTCCTACTGGCCTCTTGCCACTTCCACAAGATTTGTCTGGTTCCTAATGAGAGAGACTGTTTTGGAGAATGTGCAAATTAAGTAAAAGTGGACGAGCATCTAGAAGATCACAGGTCTCATACTAACGATCTTTCTGCATGAAGTTTTCCTGGTCCCCCGGTGTTTGGGTGTTTCCTCCAGTTACTCTGGTTTTGGGGGGTGACACTGAATACCTGGGTGACTGCTGGGATTGTCTCCAGCCATACTACAATACTAATACAGAATGAAGTAGTAGGAGATACATTAATTCAGAGGTCACAATACATGACTGTTTTTTTTTTAACATGACTTTTTTTGGATTTAGCCACAAGAGGGCAGCATTGTGACTTTCATGATTTTGTCTCTTTTCTTGACCCCACATTCATTTGATTCTCTTCTAGTTTTTGACGACGCCATAAATAAGATCAGCCAACTCGCTGGTAGGTATCTGTCTTACACACACGCACACACACCCAGCAGATGTCACACTGGAAGCATTTGGACATCCTGCCATCATGTGGTGGAATCACCTTAAAAAAAAAATCCCTTGCTGTCACAGTGACAGCGTGGAGAAGCATCCAACACCTATTTTAGGAGACAGTCACTTGACAGCACTGCAGTTACTGCTACAGCGATGGATGCAGAGGAGACGAGGGTTCATTACTGTGATAATGGGAAACCATGGTGATGCCACCATGCCGATGACGCGCTTGTGTTCTTGTAGTTTGCAGCAAGCGCAGACAGAGGTGTACGACCATACAGCTCACTTTTGGGTGGAACAACTCACCATAACAACACAGTTAACAAAAACTCTGATGGTTAAAGTGCTAGACATGAAAAAAAATATATATACACACATATACAAATATATTTATATATATAAACACATACAAATACATATCCATATATAAATACATATATAGTTTTACCTAATGTTATTGTGTATATATATTATAGGTTTTTTATTTACCTATAAACCTATATATTTTATTTGTTTCCAATTCAAGGCTCAGCCAACTTTTATTTGTCTTGTTCTTTACGGGCCGGCACAGAGTCTCTGCAGAGACAGAGTTATAGACCAGCTAAAGAAAAATATGAAAAGTTTAGTTTGATTTTTGTATGTGCCCCCTTCAACCCTTTGTTTCCCTCCTCTCGTCCTCCAGGCGCCAGTGCAGGAGAGCTGGTGATTAGCTGCACTGCAACAGGCATTCAGCTTCAGTGCCACATGAAGTACTACACTGCAGAGATGGACATCGTTTGGTTTAAAGGGTGAGAGAGGTTTACATTCTGAGACATTGATACCTAAAACCACTGCTGTCTGTCTTTATATTTGTCTGTGTGTTGTGCCTTTGTAGGTAAATCCCAGAACAGTTTTAAACCAATTTGAGTCATTATTTTAAGTTTCTGAAAAACAACTTTGTTTTCAAAACAAAATTCTCCAGGTGAAAGCTTTTATTAAGCAAATTTCCAGCCACATTTGTCCAACTTCAAGCTTTTTCTAAACTGACTTTTAGGACATGTTTTAATCGAAACACTTGTTTAAGGTTTTTGCTCTCTGACTTTTAGGACATGTTTTAATCGAAAAGGTTAAGGTTTTTGCTCTTACAGCTACTTACAGGTATACATTTATGACCAAGTACTGCTCAGTTTGACTCACCTATACTCCGTGATCTAAATCTAATTTTTAGGAGTTTCATGATTTCCAGTTTCTTTATCTTTATAAGTCCAAAACTGAAGAGCTTGAATTTATTTGCCTTACTATCTGAGCAGATCATTTCTTATGATCTAAATAAGTATGTCAAAATGCAGTAAAGAAGAATTTGAACTTATTGAACTTCCACTCCAAAGTGGAAGAGCATGAACCTGGATCTATCTAGGCCAGTGGAAAAATAATTTAGACATCCCAGGTAGAAGACAGGACAGAACATCTGTAGGGAGTCACTGTTTGTTCTCAGAGCTTGTGGCCGAAGGCTGTTTCATTACCAGACCATAGAGTCTCCAGGGACATGTAAACTTCTGCAGTAAGAAACAAGATGACTGCTGTGGAGTTACTAAAGTCAGACCGACTGTATGGACAATATTCCACTGTAGCTGTCACTTAATTCAGCAAAATTATCTGTTTGGTGACAAGAACCACTGCCCCTTCATCCTTAATTAAAAAAAAGAGGCAGTTTCTTTATCGTAGTTCAAAGATTACAATGCTGTCTCTGTGGTCCTACGTGAGACTACAGAGAACAAGGAGTAAAGATAAAACTGCAGGTGAGTCAAGGCCAACATTTCCAGAGCAGAAACAGCCGGATGTTAATTACAACTTCACCACAATCTGACATGAGGCCAGAGCTTCGTCAGAGATTTTAATGTGTGTTTGTGTAGTCAGCGTGACATAGCACAGGAAAGGTATGAAGAGATGGTTCTCCATTACTCTAGACACACACAGTAGACACTAACCTCTCTCTCTCCCTTTCTCCCACTCTGCACAGTGCGAGTAAACTCTGCCACAGTGACAAGCATGTGATTGGAGGAACCCCTGCTATGGCAACAATGGAGGTACTATCATCACCTATAAGTGTAGCACTGAGTGTCATACAGTATGCATGCATCCTGGAGAAAATGTGGAGGATTTTATGACTGTGTGGTGGGACTGTTGCCCATCACTGAGGTTCTAAAAGACCTCGGAGAGTCTTCACAGAGGTGGCACCAGGGCCGCTGTGGGAGGATTTAAAGAGGGAGCTAATGAATAAAGGCATAATGCATATTATAGTCTTTTAAATTAATTAAAATGTGCATATTTAACCGTGTGCAGTCACACCACTTCATTACCGTATCACCAGTGATGGACTGGTGACCTTAAAGCATATGTATATACTGTATATTTACACACTGATTTTCACTTAGTGCCAAGCATGTCCAAAGTCTGGCTTTGGGCCCAAAAGTGGTACTTACACAAATTTAAGAATTTACTTGTCTATTACTAACCAAGATGCAATGCATTTTTATCAAACTTATCCTGCTATATTGTGTTGTTTTAGCTAACGTTTGTGCCAAATATTTTTGAAAAACTAAAGACACCTACTATTTTAGAATGTTTTTTGTGTTTGACCAGTCAGGTCATCATTGTTGGCCACATAACTCAATGGTTACTTTTCAATCACAGATTATTGAGCCTGAGGAGAAGGACAAAGGGATGTATTCAGTGGTCATCACCAACTCCGAAAATTCACACAAACGCAGCCTTGAGCTCAGCGGTGAAGGTCAGTCGCTCTACGACATTAACATTCCTCGAGGAATTGTAATTTATTTTAATCTTTTCAAACACCACTCGCCGTCAGTAAGAACGCTGTACTCTGCATTTACCTTGCCAAATTTATTATGACTAATCTAATAAATAAAACATGACAGAATATTTGCTGCAGAGAAACTTTTTAAAAGCTACAAATCAACCAACAAACTAGTCATCTTTCCGCTATGTTAGACTAATTATATTGAGCACATCCAGTCTTACACAATACCATAAGTCATTACTTTCTCTTTCTACATTTTGCCAGCAAACGTTGTGACCACAGTGTTCCAGCACTCCTCTGTTTGAATCCAGAGGAATTTGAATTTAAGGGATTTAGCAGAAAATCTGTCATTCTGTACAGACAAACATAATTGGAACCCTTTTTTTGCCTCTGGACACAATTTGTCAGTTTCAGCATCTACGGTTCCCGGAATTTCATGTTATTGAATTTCAGAAGAGAAATATTTAATGAAAGAAAAAAGTATGAAAATGTCCAAAGTCTTTTTGATACCATACGTCCCAACATCTTGCCTTGTCAAAATCAAACTGCTTTTTAAAATGGCATCCTGTAGGGACGTTGTCTACATTTCCATTTCCTACGGCAAGAAAAACTCTTTCATTTGGTTTAATGTACATTTATTACCATTTTTATTAAGTTGAATTATAATTCTATAGCACAAATTTAGAAAACAGATTTTGATTTGATGAACGTTACGGTTCACGTGAAAATGAACAGTGAACACATCTTGGTATTTTCAGCAAAGAACTGTAACACAATGGACAAAATCTACAGATATAAAAAAGCAAAGTTAGTTCAAAATTTAGCCATGAAGAAAAATTAGCCGGGGAGTTTATTTTTTACTTTAATGTGGCACAAATACAATGAATATAAAATAATATACAAGCAGGACATTTCGTTGTGTCACCGGTACTGAAGGATAAAAACAGAGGTTTTTATTCATGTTTTTCTTTCTATTACAGCATATGAAAAGGCCTATGCTGAGTTCCAGAAACTCAAGTGAGTACATTAGAAACCAACACCCACTGTTGAGATGGGCTCCTATTTCAGGAAGGGGAGTTAAAAAAAAAAACATTAGGTTGTGATTCAGCTTGGACATAAAGATAATGGAAACATGATCTGTGGTCAGGTCGTTCAGAGATTATATAAGCAATTAAAGGTACACAGACCATTATCCCTGGGGTTGGGGGGGTACAATAGAAGAATCCAGGTCTTGAATTGGAATGTTTGACTGATGTTCAGGAGGATGTCGTTCCACGTTACTCATCGCAGTTCAGAACCTGGTAAATGTACCTTGAAAATGTGTGGTAAAATTTCATATTGAGGACTAGAAGCTGTTGAGCAAACCTTCGTACAGCCAACGCAAGAACGAAGTCCACTCGCAAAACAGCGTCCCCTGTGACCAAATGAGAAATGGTGTAATAACAGAAAAGGGTTAAATCTGCAGATCCAGCTGCTCCTACTAGAGTTTTGTAGGTATCAAATTGCTTTAAATTAAAAGAATTGAATTGGTCTGCAAAAACAATGGAGGGCTATTTTTTTGTCTGCTGTTTGATAAATAAAGCTGATCCACTGGGTTTTATTTTCCTGCCTATTCTGCAAACACCTCTGATTGAGCATCTTAAATAAAGATTTTCCTCCATTTACAAATTAGAGATAAAGAAAAAACAAACTACAAATCGATCCTGGAAAAAAAACTTGAGGCCAATACTTTCTCTAAAGTAAAATGCCACAAAGTAATTTTAACAAATTAATTTAAAAAGAAAAAAAAAAGACTGAAACAGCAAATATTAAACCTGGCACACGATGTGTAAACCACACAAATCCCTTTTCTAATTAAGATTCAGAGAAAAAAAATGAATCGACAACAGCGTTTTTAACATGCCAGGAGGAGAAGAGAGCCGTCCCAGCCATCTGGTTGTGTTGCTGACCTCTGCTCCCTGTCGCTGCTCCAACAGCCCTGGCAATATCTTCGTTTCCACTCTTAGTCTCCCACAGAAAACTGCTCTAAAATGTGGTTTGGCTCCCAGGCCAGAATACCTCGTGGCAAACCATCTGACCAGTTATTGACCCAGAGATGGAGACGCCATTAGGTCTTTTGTCAGGCGGTGTAAAAACACTAAAATTGTCACAAACACATACACACATCTCCAGGACCACAGTATGAGTTAGGCTTTAAGGTTAACAAACCTGTTGGTCACAATGATGTCCAGTTTATCACAGTAATCTCACTGTTACGTGGTTTATAACGTTTATGAAGAAAATCACACAAAAAAAACATAACTCTTCTGTTTGTTTTTTCAGGGCTGAAGCCTATGCAGAGAAGAGTAAGTATTTCATCATCTTCATTATATTATTTAAAAAGAAAACTGATCGTTTGAAAAGAGAGATTTTGCATCTGTAAAACAGTTAAGCAGCTGCTTTTATTTCAATTGTAACAATGTATTGATTTCTGAAGTGGAACTCAGATTTCTCTTCTTTTTTTTAACAAAATCCTAATCCAAATTCTGGTCTCTTAATTCTGGAAAAATGTCATATATATAGACATACATACATGTGTGGGTATAAATAATAGTTCATGCACCTATAAGTAATTCTTAGTACCCCGTCAGAAAAAAAAAACCCCATCTGTATTGTTCCTTTAATCACTGGATGGCTCATGATGAAGTTTAAATGATAGTTTCTCATACTGTATTTATCTTTGTAAATGAAAAACATTATATTGGTGGTTATTTTTCTTTCACTTTATGTTCACTGGTAAATTAATCTACGTTTGACGCAAACATCGTCTCACCAATAAGGGAAAGTGTTACTGTTTGGAACTGTTCTCCCAGTTAGAGATGTTCTAAGGATGAACACTAATGTGTTTCAGATCGTGGTCAGGTGGTGGGAGGACTGCCTGATTGTGTCACCATTATGGAAAAGAAGGTAACCTTTTGTTCTTTTACCTTTGTTTTGGAAGAACACAATTTATTTAATCTTTTTCCAAATTATTTCTGTCAGCCATTATCTCTACTCTAACCAAACTGTTTATTTGAATCCAAGTTTTCGATTCCTTTAAGGAGAGTTAAGGCTACTGTTAATTTTTCACAGAAACTTTTATTTGGCATTTGATTTCAATTTATCTCAAACAGGTCGTCTATGCTTACTTTAACTATAACACCAAACATCAAAAGTCACTATTATTGATGCAAAGCTTAGGCAGATTAACATGTGGTTAAGTTACAGCCAACTGTTTAAACTTTTGGAATAATACATTCAGTTAGTAATTAGACCAGACCTGGGAAAACTACGGCTCATGGGCCGGATACAGGACATGGTAAAGATCAATCTTTTTGTTTCATGTATTACTAGTCGTATTACGAGTTTCATGTATTACGAGTCGGCTGCAGTTTCTGTTAATGCCACTAGATGGCATTAACAGATGGCACACATCAAATGCGCCAAATTGTCTTTAAAATTTTTGGAAGCCTTGAAGGTGTGTGTAAATAAGTAGATGTTTACATGCTCATCTAACTATCTATGTTCTGCTTAAACAGACCCTGAGTTTAACTTGCACAGTGTGTGGAGACCCCAAACCACATGTGTCATGGATGAGGAACGGAGTGGAGGTTGAACCCGATGAGAAGGTGATTACAGCCGTCACCACGACAGGAATCACAATATTTCTAATCCATCTCTTTTTAATGACCACTGAGGCACGCTCATAATTAAGTTGTATATGTGACCTGTGCACCCCACTGCAGCACCTTATTATCAACACCCCCCAAAACCCCTGCCCCAACGTGCATCGTTCCTTTCACTGGTTTTCACCTGTCATACTCCAACGCTGAGTGGTTTAACCTCTTCACAAAGGCGGCCCCTCCTTCTCTGTCCATGATTAATTACCTAATTAATCTCACACAATTACAACAGAATGCTTGTATCAGCTTTTATAGAGATACAATGGAAGTCCCTTACTGCAGGGAAACGTCCACTCTCATCTCCATGGAGTTTGAAGTCCCAGCATATTATTGGGGTTTATTTTTGTCTCTGTACAGTTGAACACGGCATTAACACGATAATGGCTTTTATACAGCGGAAACATTTTCAGACAGATTAAGAGTTAATCGCTTCACTATTTTTACCTAATTCAATTAAAACCGCACGCAATTGAATGTACAGCAATTGACACTGATGACATTGCTGAAGAAACTTAAAGGAACAAGTCCATCGCTGGGAGATGAAAGAAATAAGATGCAAATGCCTAAAAACACAAATGTACTCCTGGAGATGAGAATGTCTTCAAAATGTTTTAAGTTGTACCTGATGTGGGTTTCTAAGTTGGGGAACGGAAGCTAATGCAAAGGGGTGGAGGCGTGACCAGCAAATTTGAATATTTTCTTCACTAACTTTTGTTTCCTGATATCGATATTATACAGCACTGTATCAATTTTTATTAACAATTAACATGCAATTATTGATTGAACAGGGACTGCATATATTTGCAAGTATTTGAGACTTTGAGTCAAACAAGAGAAAACTGCATTTATAAAGTGATATTTCCGTCAATCCCTCACCCCTTTGTTTTAGCACTTTCAGTTTAGTTATTCATGATACCTTTGTTTTAGCACTTTCAGTTTAGTTTAAATTATTCATGATGTTAAATAATGAGGTAGTACCTGCTGTAGGATGTGGCAGCAACAGGCTAGTCACAATTTTTAAAAAAATCACTTTTCGTATTGATAAGCTGAAAGGTGTGAGAAATACATATTGGGAGATTCATACTGAGCCATTGTACTCTGTGAGCTCTTTTGGCAGCTGTTTGAATAGAAAGGACATTCTTTGGTATAAAAAATGGCACGCTGCAGTTTAATTGCAGGGATGCAGTGAGACCTTTACAAGTGCCACTCCATTTAAATGTACTAATTCACAGTCGTAGAGATTAAGTGGGTTAGAGGAAAATTTAATCACTGGATTCTTGTCAACATCACTCAGTTATGAATGTGCGCTGGAAAATAATGATACAAAATGAGGATGTGTTTTAACACAGTGTTTATTTTAAAGAAGCATATATATACATATATATAAAGTGTGGACTGAGGGGGTCAGGAATGAATTACTGGTCCTTGTGTCCATCTCCAGCTGCTGCAGTTGAAGAAAATACACCATTCAATAATTCATGACACTGCAGGCATTTCCAATGTTAAACCTTCCTAAGGAATCCCTCTGCTGCCCTCCTCTTCATTGTAACCTTTGATTTCCTATTTCAGTTTGTGGTCTCCATGGACCAGGGTAGGTTTGCCAGCCTGACCATCAAAGGTGTAGTCATGGAGGATTCTGGCAGATACAGCATGATTATCCAGAACAAATATGGAGGAGAGTCTGTGGATATACTGGTGAGTACCACTGCTGTGTACTGGGAATGACAGTATTTACTGTACTTTCAGTTCTGACCTTTTAGACCAACCCTTGTTCAAGTGGGGGCAGATTTGATGATCTTATAAAGTCCTAACAACCCCATTCCCTGATACTTTAGCTCTAACGATATACTGTACAAGGAAACTAATACATTTTTGAGGCAGCAATCTGCTTTAGTTAAAAAAAGTTTGGGAGGTTTAGAAAAAAAAAATCCATAAAAAGGTTTTTTGTTTTTTATCAAATGGTGGTCTAATACAGGCGTGGGCAAACTTTTTGACTCGCAAGCCATAATTGGTCCTAAAATTTGATTGGGGGGGGAGGGGGTGCTGGGTCAGGAGCAGATAACTGGAGAGTTCTTGTGAACTAAGATAAATGACATAAAAGTCATGAATAAAGGCTAAAATGCTTTTAGCCATCTCTATGCCATCTATTGGGAAATGTGGGCAATTCAAAGAAAAGGCAGAAATATAATCACAATACAAACCAATTATGTAATTTGGACAAGTTTGGCGGACCTTAGTTTGCCCATGCCTGGTCTGGTACACAGTAAAAGGTAAAAGACAAAAGCTGTACAAAAAATATATAAACATATAGTACATATAAAATTGTTACACTTCTGTAAACATAGCGTCAATAGTGTAGATGGCAGAAAAGATAGCATAACAACAGTCATACAGCAAAGCCTACAGAACATACAGGATTTTCTGATTAGAGTCTCACAATTAGACTGCTCGAAAACCTCCTCCTTCGTCCTGACACAAAGGTCACCTAGTAAAGATTTGGTTAAGAGTTAAAATTATGTTTAAAACAAGTTTGCAAAAGGTGCATTTTTCAAATTTAGGAAATATTCTGACCAAAAATACACAAAAATGTTTTGTGGTGATGTACAAAATCCAAATCTACAGTTCAACATACAATGTTCAATTCTATAACATCTTGCTAGAATCAGTTCAGGGTGAGTCATCAATGACATCATTTGTCTCCCCTTTCTTACAGGTGAGTGTCTACCGTCATGGAGAGAAAATCCCGGATGCCAAACCACTGATGGCTCCTAAAACCATCATCCCTCCCAAACTTCCCATCGAGATGCCTCAGACTAAAACCCAGCCTGCCCCAAGCCCCGCCCCAGCTGCTCAAAGCCCCACCCCTTCTAGGGCAGCTGCTGGAAAGGCAGCCAAGAGCCCAACTCCTTCCAGGAGGAAGTGAAAATAATACGCAAAATCAACAACAACAAAAAACCTAGACCACACAGAGTTTTACTGGTGCTGTCCACTCGGGGAAAAAAATCAACATAAATGAAATCATCCCACTGTGAAATTGATACAATAGAGTCAAAAGATATTTAAAACTGCAACAATGTGCAAAATACTTAGTAGTGGGACTATTATACGTGAAATGAAATTTAAATAAAGCAAGGTTTTCACACTTGTTTGTGTCAGTGTCAAATCTCTGAAGTGTTTTTTTTTTTGTAACTTACAAGCGTTGGTATCAGATTAGGAGGCTGTAAACGGACAGGTAGTTAACTTAGTTTTAAAAAACAACTGTATGATGCCCCAGAATCTCTGAAATATAGATTAAGAAATGTTCTAGTTATCTTGGTGATTATTTGAATCTATATACTGCTAAAAGCTAACCAAAATAACGTGACTGCACAAAGAGAAAAAAGCTCCACCTAATGGTGGAAATGCTTCCTCTTTAACATTACTGCTCAAAACAAAGTAGTACTGCAGATGCAGGAGATCAGCGTGAGGTAAATCACCACTTAGAATAGCACAGCTGCAGGGTAAGACTGGGACCACCATTAACAGGATCTGCTAAATCTGTTATAATTGAAATCCTTTCAGTATTCAACGTCAGTATTTATCATAGAGACATTTGCCCAAAAACATATGTGTTAAAAATTTACAAGTATATTGTTTTTCGACCAATCACTTTAAATCAAGGCAGAGAAAAATAAAAAAATAAAACTATGCAGCAGAAATGAAAGACAAGTTCAGGAAGAGGTGATGGCAGAGCTGATGAGATTTCAGGGGGTTTATTAAAGCTGATGAGAGGAGAGACGGGGAACACACAATGAGAGCGCCGAGGGTAAACTCATTCTTTGTGTGTTTGCTGTTGCTAATAAAAGAGAAGAGATTATAATTTGCTGAGTCTGTTTATTCAGACTGACTGAGAGAAAAAGATCAAGAACAAGTACAAGTCAGTGAAAGTGGTAAAAGAAGTAAAAGAACTGAAGAGAGAGACTGAAGAAAGTCAAAGAGAGAGAATACTGTTTTTTTGTGCCATTGTCACAGTCACAAACACTAAGGAAAATGAAAAATAGAGCATTTTTCTAATTTTGTTTACTCCTTTAGGGCCACCACAGTGAATCACTTTATCCTGTACATACTGACAATCTTACACATCCATCAGACCCTGCTTACAACCTTCACTTTTCCTTTCTGTCCATTTCAGTGGATAAACAAAGTACTTGAACTCATTCACTACAGATTACAATGTCATCTGCAAACAATATGGTTCATGAAACTTCCAACATGACCTCATCCGTCAACCTTTTTATCACTATAGCAAACAAAAAATAAGTCAAACCTGGTTGGCCATGTAGCCCCACACATACTCTGAACCCATCTGTCATTTCGACTGCACACTCTTCATTGTTCACACATTCTTCTTTAGCAGCTAAATTTCATGGTCACTACGGCACTGGAACCAATCTGAGGACCACCTGTCCACTACATATAGAGACAAACAACCATTCACACTCACACACTCATCAAGTACTACAAACATCAATGCAACTTTCAAACTCCATATTCAAAAACCATCAATTACAAGTGGGGATGGAACCGATGAGCTCCTTGCTATAAGGACAACCGTGAAGTAGCAACTCATAAACTCATAAACAGTTGTCGTTTTTACGTTTTACCCTAAAAAGTTCTAATGCACATGTGGTTAACAAATATTGCCTGGAGGAACAATTAGTTAATCTTTAGGAAGGGCTTGCAGAGCTGTGGTTGGATCAATGTCCGCTGTGTTGGGTTTATTTTTTTTTCATTACAAGACTTTTTACTCTATTTCTGATTAAGACGTAAAAACTGTTTGATCATGATTAATTTCAGGCCTTTTCAGATTTCCTGTCAGACCCGATTAATTTTATGAAATTATCACCAGTTATATATTTTAAACTGTGTATTGGACATTTTTTGTGGTACATAGGAAAAGGAGAGGATTTTGTTTTAGTTAACACATTGTTAATTTGCATCATGGACATTGACTGTACATTGAACATTTATGACAATCACACATCTACTAATTTAAAAATTAAGATTAAGATTAAATCAGTAGAAAATATGTCACAAAAAGACTTTGTAAAATGCTAAAAACTATGTCTGCATCCTTAAAGTATAATCGGTATATATTTGATAATAACTGCAGTCAACTCAAGATTTTATTTTAAGATAGATGATTTTTCATCATCTATGTGAGGCAAAACTCATACCACAACAATCATATTTTGCCAAAAAAAACCCCAAAAAAAACAAAAACCCTGATTTGTTGCATTGAAATAAAAGACTGGAGTGGATTGGACTATCAGAGAGAGATGTAAATCATTCTGATGATCGCTGCTCATCTGCTGTGAGATCATTTACCCCGACTTTCTAATTAATTTCCATTTTTTAATCAACACAATTACAGAGAATCCCCATGTTTCCATGACAACAAACTTCAAATTTCAATCAACACTGATACATCCCAGTGAAACACACTGATGGACTAGAACACAAGTTCACACATACACAGACATGACAACACAACAGCACACACATTCATCAGCGCACACATACACAAACAAACACTGACATACACGAGCTGCTATCTAAACTGAACAGCTAGCCAGTGACGAGACCATGGAATTCTTACTCTAAAAATAACACCATGTCATTAAAGTGTGTGACTCTATGACAGTTTGTGTGTTTGTGGTTTGTAAAGAATCAAGGCTTTATAACAAAGATTTTTCCACACTAAACCACTTGAGGGCACTATGGTAACATATGCACACACAAATACAAACGCATGCATGCACACACACCCTGCTATTACTTTAAGGTTTTGTCACACACTTTCCTAGATGTGGATGAGCACAGACAACACACATACACATACACATACACACACACACACACACACACACACACACACACTCAGAAACTGACAGGTCTGCTCTAATAAAGTCGTGCTCCAAACAATGAGATAAAATGGAAGCAGAGACATTTGCAGGTGTTCACTGAGGCACAGACGATTGAAAATATGAAATAAAAATAATGTCTATGCAGATACATCAGGGTTCTTAAAAACACACTGTCACTGTAAATGCTGATATTCTTGATGATACAGACGCAATTATGAGATGTTGAGCGTCTGATCACGTATTTTTGTCTCTCTGTGAGTAAAAGAAAATGATTAGCGAGGGTATGAGGAGCACCAGGA